GAATAGGCGATGCTCCTGCAGTGAAATCGCGCGCGCCAGCGCGCGCTCCAACCGCCGCTGCGCCGACCCCCGCCGCGGGAAGTCGCGCGTTTCGAGGATGGGTTCGAACGGGTCGGCCGGGGGGCTGGGGGGCTTCAAGGGCGCCAGGGGCGGGGCCCCAGCGCGCCTGCCACCATCGGGCTGCCGCGGCCCCTGCGGGGCCAACGTGGAGCGCGAAGGCGCGGCCAGATCCGCGTCGGACCCCGGAAAGATAACGATGGCACCTGAAAGCCGAGGGAATCCTCTGAAACGCCCGACGCCTGTCCGAAAACCTCGAAACGACTTCAGTGGCCGGGCGCGGGGCCGCGCGGGCCCCTCGAAAACCTATTTACCGCAGCTCAACAAACCTGAGGCTCCTTCGACTTATACCGCGCCGACATGACTGCTGATATCGGACTAAACTTCAGGGCCGTCTTCCCGGCGCGAGGCTCGACAGACTCGCGCCCACCATGTGGGGGGGGGGTGAGTCCTGTAGTTCGGCGGCGCTGGCCCCATCTTTGGACATCCCAGAAAAGCTGATATCCCCCATGTAAGTTGGACCCGGGGCCTGGATCCTGAGAGGCGAGCAAAACTCGGCCCGCGTTCGTGGACCTCCTTCCCATTGCCGAACCCCGCGGAGACTGGGGCCTGGCCGGGAGCAGAGAACGGCGCAGGGCGGGCGTCAGATAAGGCCACTCAAAATCCAACGTGAGTGTAACTGTTGTAACTCAGGCCGTGGCCCCCCCCCGCCGAGCTGCCGCGGCGGGGGGGTCATTTTTGCGGCGGACGCGCCTGGCCCGTGTGCGAGGGTCGACAGGGGCAGGGCCAGGGCCAGCAGCTATTGGAAGGTCGCCGTTCGCGGCCACGGCCGTCTCCGAATCCTGCGGCGCCGTCTTGGCTGGAGGCGCGCCGCCACCTGCGCCCTCCAGACCCGCCCTGGGCCTCTGCATCAGCCTCCTCAGCCACGCCATCGCCGCCGCGATGCTGATCGCCAGGGTCGCAACGACGGCGCTTGACGACGAAGAGCTCGAGCATCTTCTGCTGCCAAGTCTGGAACGCCTTCGCCGTGTCCAGGGCGCCCCCGGGGAACTTCCGAAGCGCCGCTTGCTTTGGCACCTTGAGCTCCAGCGCCCACTTCTGGATCTCCTTGAGGTCAGCGTCAGAGAGCTCGTAGTCATCCAGAAGCTTCAGCAGCGAATCGATGGAAACGGGGATCTCCTGAGCCTCGCCGTGAAACGTCGCGGAGATGTCGAGCAGGGTCGCGGGCTGCGGTGGCTCAGGTTGATAAGCGGCCACACGCGTTTGCAACTGCTGCACGAGTTTGGTGTTGTTCGCCTCCGGCTCCTTGAACTAAGTGCTGATATCCCGGACCGCCCCCCTCTGCCTGGCAAGGTCTTCGCACGTGCTGTCGTAGGTGGAGCACGCCTTGTCGGTCTTCCTGCGCAAAGAACGCAACTCCGCGAAAACTTTGTTGCCCTTGGACTGCATTGGTAAGCCGGGGGCGGCGACTGCATTTGCATTGTTGTTATTGTTTGTGTATGCTTCTTCTTCTCCAGGATGTGTTGGTGCTTCTTCGCGCCAGCCTTGTCCCCGCACGTGGCCAACATGACCACCAACTTCTCGAGGTCCTCAACTGAAGCATTGGCATGGTGCCCCCCGACTGGTGCCAAGGATTTGGCGGCGAAGATCCCCAGCAGTAGTCCGTGTCGAACTGAAGCCCAGGCCGAGTGGGTGGTCCATCACGTTGCCACTCCCAGCGGGGGTCGAAGCGTTTTCTATGACAGATATTCGCACGATGCTGCTTGCAAGGTTTGCAGAACCGCTACGAGGTTCTGCTGCGACGGCAGCCGCAAACCCCGCACACCCACTTCTGCCCACCACGGCGAGCGTCTTGTAGCCACTGTTCACCTGCACCGCGGCGCTCGCGAGGAATGCCGCCAGCAAGCGTGCCCATAGCTGCAGACGCGAAGAGGAAATACGACCTTGCGTTCAACACCTCGCGGAGGCGCTCAAACCAGCGCACTGATAGTAACAACGCAAGGTAGAACTAGCACCGTAAAGTGCTCGGACCAGAAGGGCGCGAGGGAGAAAGTGGGGGGGAGGGGGTGTGCTCCTGGAGGCCGTTGTTGGTTTCCCGGGGATTCTCAAAGCTTGGCGGCTTCCTGGAGATCTGGTCGGGGTGCTGAGCGTTTTCGTGAACGCCTGCAGGTTTCGCCAGGGCCCTGGGGTTCTGTCGAAGGTGTCTTTTCTTTCTCGGTGGAGCGGAAGCGTCAAGGAGGCAGGCTCTGGTCGGGGCGCGAAGCCCCCCCTCCCTGGCGCGCTCCGCGCGACAAGGGCGGCGCTGGAGGCGCCGTCGAGGACAGCCAGCGCGGATCCAAGACACCCGCACGGACCGTCGACAATTTGTGCTTCTGCGCCTTCTTCCTTCGAGTCCGGAGACCGTGCGGTCCGCCTGGTCCCCCCCGCGACGGTGCGAGCGAGCATGGGATCACGAACCAGAGAATTGTGGAATCCGAGGCCTCCAAGCCGGGCGGAACTCGACCCGTGGAGCGGCCGTGGATGTCACCACGGCCCTCATCAGAGAAGGGACCTTTCTTCAAGGTCTGCGGCCTCCTGGGCACGCTCCTCCACCACCACCCCCACCGCAGTGAGGTCTCCACGCCGTGCGGCGGCACCCCGATTGTATCGGCGACGAGCCTGCGTGGGGACAAAATGAGAGGGAGAAGGCCCTCTCAGAAGGCTCGGGAGTCCACAGAGGCCTTCGAGGGAGCTCTCTCGGCCTCCCCCGAGGACGCAGAGCACCTCCCAAGAGGCGCGGGGGCCTCTGAGGAGTGCCGCCGCCTTCCCAGAGGAGGCCTGCTCCTTCTCGCTCTCCCCCCCTCGCTCACCGCCGACGGCGCCCGGCGGCCGATCGGGACTCGGCGATTCAAAGATGGGGTCCTGAGAGATGGGGGTCCTAAGGACGAGGTGCCTTGAAGAACGTAACTCCACGATTGGATTATGTTGCTCCCATCGCACTTCAGGACCACATCCCAGATATCGTTTCGAGCACCTCGAAAAGCATCGAACAAGTGTCGAACGAGTACCGCCTCCCAGGGCACGACACGTGACAACCCTCCAGTTTTGGTAGATGCTCGAAATTACTCCTGGTGACCAAGGCTAAAGTATGTTGGAACATCATACAGTGGAGGCCAGTCCACAAGAAACCTTCCACATGAAACCCAACCCTGAGACACCTGTATGTTCATCGACTTTTGGCGTGGGAACGTCGCACTCCCTACCGCCAGACCATCTATACCCAAGAAACCCAAGGCACCAGGGAAGCAGGCAAGGTGTTCCTTGGCATGGGTCTCCACTGTAACCCTTGGCTTCCTTCCTTCAGGGCTGAACCTAAGCGGTATTTCTCGTTTCCGTTTTGTTTTCGTTTTCCCCCGCGTCTGTCTCGAGTCCGCCTTTCCTGCAAAACGACGTCGAAACGACAACGGCCCACGAGATCACCAAAAACACCGTTTAGGCTCAGCCCTGCCTTCCTTCCCTCTGGACCCCACTCCTCGGGACCGCATCTCTGAACCACCGAGGGGAGATCGGGGATGGACAGACCCCCCTTTAGTAAAACGTGGTTTGGTGAAAACGACCTGAGACCCAAACCTGGCGGGCGCAAGCCTGGAAAATAACGGCCACGGCGCCCTCTCGAGAACCGACAACGGACAACTCACGAATCGACGTGTCACTGTTGGGGGTTCTGTCCACCCCCGATCCTTCCTTCCCTCTGGACCCCATCCCTCGGGACCGCATCTCTGAACCACCGGTGGGGCGGTCGAAATGCACCCCCAGAGGGCGCTCCCGGCGAGGCGCGGCCCCCCCTGGAGCGCACCCCGAGGGCGGCAGAGGCCCCCCCACCCCCGGGAGCCGAGGAGGAGCGCCCGAGATGCCTCGAGCCTCGAGCGAGCCTCAGGTCGGACGAGACATAAAACAGTGGAAAACCTCAGACACTTCAGGAACAAACCTCCGCTGGGACAGGACGAGGCAGGGGCAGGAGGAACAGAGAAGAGGACGACATGCGCCGGCAATGCTAACTACCTTCTCGCTCCTCCCACTTTCTTTTCATAGCAACAAATTGTATGATGAGGAAACATTCAACAGTAGTCAAACGTAGTAGAAGCATCGTCCCCAGAGTATTGCTTGTCACTACTTTGGAATCCTCCTCCTGTGGAGGGACGTGCCCGACTTAAACAGGCCTCCGCGAAACAGGGCTGGACAGAAACGGTGTTTTACGCTTTCGTTTGTCTTTCGCTCTTCCTCGCTTTGCCTGCGCTTCGCCCTGCATGCAAAGAGAAAAACTAACAAAACACACAATGGCCCACGGAGTGGCCCAAACACTGTTCAGGTCCAGCCCTTCCTCGAAATCTCCCTCCCGCACCGCCGTGCGTGGGGCACCCCGAGGGCACCACACCGCCGTGTGGGGGCACCCCTCGATCGAGCCTCCCTGCAATCCCCCTTTCCTCACCTTCGGCGGCCCTTCGAATGCTTGAACAATTTGAGCAGGGACCGACAGTTCCGGCAGTCCTATAGGCCTAATTACCACGACATGTTCGTAGAACCCCAAAGTGTTCGAATCCAAAAAGCAATATTCTTATACCATAAACCCGACGCGCTAAAACAAAACAATGTCGGCCAGACATATACGTAGAACGTGTCGTGCAGACCACAAGACGTTCTTAAAACATTATACGACGGCCCTATCGGCGAGCCAGGACGCTGCGCCACGGCTTGAACCATATCGCGAGGGCATCTGATCGGGCGGACGGCCCAGGGACAACCACAAGACCATGGTTGGACAGTTCCGGATCAATTTCTCCTGTAGGGAGCGGTCGCGCCACAACGCCGTGGTGTGGTCACCACGCTGCCGTGCAGGGGCCTCCCGAGGGCGTGCGGCAACCTGCGGCCGGCGAGGCCCAGCGGGGGGGAGGTGCCCGGGGCTCCTCGTTCTTGGTCTGGTAGGCGCCCCACGTCTCCGGGGGCGGGCCCGGGCTCGCCTTGGGGCGGGGGGGGGCGACGACGACGACGCCGACGCCGACGATGCCGACGCCGACGCCGACGCCGACGCCGCAGCCGACGCCGACGCCGACGCCGACGCCGACGACGACGCCGGCGACAACAATAATAACAACAACACCAATCATTTTAAGACTCTTCGCTCTTATCTGCTCGCGTGTCATTCAACACGTATATCCCAAACCCTCGATACCCGCCGCTTTCGTCTTGGATCGTACCCCCATGGAGGTGATTCTTACCTGCAACGTCCATTTCGTGCCACTGGCCAAACAAGAGAATAGAGGACGGATGGGGAAAAGGGGCAAGGGGGAGGGAGGAGGATGGAGCAAATGAGAAAGTAACTGGGGGCGGGCTAGAAAAAAGAAAACACGTGGCAGAACCAAGCGGGCAGCTCGGGCGGGTAGACCCTAACGAACGGGTCGGGAAAGAGGGCCCAGGAGGCCAGGTCGAGCCGGGTAAGCGTGCGTGCGTCCTGCATAAATCGCGACGGACGCTCGAACGATAGAACGATTCCCAAATGAATCGTCACGAAATCCAAAACGTGAGCGTGATTCCTGAATGTCGAGGGCGCGACGTCTGAATACATTGCGAACAAGTCCCACGCGAGAGCGCCATTCCTGCATACATTGTGCGGCAGTCCCACACAAGCGCAGCTGTTGTTGTAAACCTGGGGCCACATGCGCAACTTGGCGGCGAAACAAGTTCCTTTTGTAAAAAAACCCACGGTGCGAACCCGCACATAAATTGAAACATGCAATGGCCATCGGGAGGGGGATCATCAATACTTAGTTTCATGCGTAATAATTCAAGAGCGACAACCGCAGCACCAGCAACAGCAACAGCAACAGCACCACCACCACCACCAACAACAACACCGACAACACCAACAACACCAACAACAACAATAAGTTTAAGAGCGTTCGTCCATATATGCTCGAGCGTCCGATAACGCGTATTTCCCGAACCCTCGATACCCGCCCTCTTCGACTTCGATCGAACCCCTTTTGGGGGGTATGCTTTTCTTCCCTGCAGGCCGGGTCCCGGCAAGCGGCGGGGCGGCCGCGGACCGTCGGCCTGGCCAGCGGCAGCGCTGATCGGCGGGGCGGCCGCGGACCGTCGACCCGACCCCAAGAGGGACGGACAGGGGACCGACCACGACGACGACGACGTCGAAGACGACGGCGACGACGACGGCGACGAGGAGCGAAAGCGAGAGCGAGAGAGAACGACAGCCGGGCCACGAAGGGCACGAAGTAGGCCACAAAGGGCGACAACGGGGACACGAAGGGAATGCGCATGGGGCCACGAGAAGCGCGAACGAGCCGGGGCCATGAAGTGCAGATAATGCGGGGCTACAGAAGGCAACTATGGGGACAGTGAGGGGGACACAAATGGCGACAGCGCGGCCACGAAAAGCATGCACATGGGGCCGCAACGGGCGCGACTCCTGGGTGCCTGGGTGTCGGGAGCGCGGCGCTTGGGCAAATTATAAGAAATCCCAACGCAAGGCCATTCTTCAGTAAGTTGCAAGCAAATCTCCAGCGAGAGCGCGACTCCAAGGCGCTGGGAGAGCGATTCCTGAATAAATTGTAAGGAAGTCCCGAACGAGAGAGCGACTCCTGAATAACATGCGAGGAAGTCTCGGGCGGGAGCGGGGGTTCTGGCTAAATTGTCAGGAAATCTCATGCGGGAACCGTTGTTGTTGAAACCCGGGGGCCAAGGGCCCAGTTTGAGCAGGAAGAGTTTCCCTGTCAAAATCAAGGTGCGAGCGTCGAGGGCACACTTTGAATTAGAAAAAAGGGTATGCGCCGGTGGGGGGATCAACAATAATTATTCTTCAGAAATGAGAATTCAACAACAACAACAACAACAACAACAACAACAACAACAACAACAACAACAACAACAACAATCACTTTACCCGAACGCTCAGTGTTCTCACCAGTGCCAGGGTTTTCATGCGACGCCAGCCAATACCCCCACTTTGTGGGGGGGCAGTGCAAGCTCTACCAAATATCCACACGACTCTTCGCCACCACCCACACCCAGCTTCCCGCCCTATGACGTTCGGACACTTCACTTCGTGGCCTGCGGACGACCGTGGCTACTACACTGGCGTGGAGTACACACCCACAGAAGTTGTTAGGACAGCGCGCGCGGGTAGAAATTTTGAAAAGTCGTGCAGGTGTTTTTCGAGGACCTACGGTGCGATTCGTGTGATTTTATGATGCGCGGTGCTAAAATTCTTAAGAAGCCCAATGGTTTTTGGAGATTTCGGCGTGCGCGCGCGAAGAAAAAACGAATGTGTCCCGCATGGTATTATTTGACAGGGATGATGGCCCTGGCAGGTGCGCAACCGTTGTCGCAGAAGTTCGAAAAAGTTGCTCGCAAAAGCCCGTTTGACAGAAATGTTTAAAAAGTGTTGGGTTTCCTACGAATCCGCAAGAGCGCGCGGGATGAGATTTTGACATTTTTTTGTTGAAAAACCATTGGTTTTTTGATGTTTTTATGTTAAAATCGCTCCGAACACTAAGCTTTTGGAAGGATTTCGTCTTGCGCGCGCGAATGTCCACTTTACCTTATTTTTTGCAAGGGATTCTTGAAATTTGATTATATTAGAACAAGAAATGTCATTTTATAGTGTTTTTTGCAAGGGAAAGCGGGGGGGAACAAAACAACCGGATCTTGATCACATCGAATTACCTGAGGCTTCCTCACGAAAATGAAGAAAATGTAGCTGCGGCCTAGGCGGCGCAGGGGGGCCGTGCACCAGGGGCCCCAACAATAATTATTCTTTAGAATTAATAATGTTCAACAACAACAACAACAACAAACAACAACAGCAACAGCAACAGCAACAGCAACAGCAACAACAACAACAACAACAACCATACCACCACCAACAACATCAATCATTTTTAAACTTTTCGTCCTTATCTGCTCGAGTGTCCAATAACGCGTATTTCACAACATCTCGATACCCGCCCTCTTCGTCTTCGAACGAACCCCTTTTGGGGGGTATGCCTTTCTTCCCTGCAGGCCGGGCCCCGGCAAGCGGCTGGGCGGCCGCGGACCGTCGGCCTGGCCAGCGGCAGCGCTGATCGGCGGGGCGGCCGCGGACCGTCGACCCGACCCCAAGAGGGACGGACAGGGGACCGACCACGACGACGACGACGACGGCAAAAACGACGACGAGCGAAAGCGAGAGCGAGAGAGAACGACAGCAGGGCCACAAGGACACGAAGTAACTGAGGGTAGCAACTGGGCCACGTAGGACACTGAGGGGGCCACAAACGGCGACAGCGGGGCCACGAAGGGCATGCACATGGGGCCACAACGGGCGTGAACGAGCGGGGGCCACGAAGGGCATACGTATATTGGGCCGCGAAAGGCAAGGACGGGCTGAGGGCAGCAACGAGGCCACGAAGGGCAGCGAGGGGGCCACGCAGGGCGACAGCGGGGCCACGAAGGGCATGTATATGGGGCCACCACGGGCGCGAACGAGCGGGGGCCACGAAGGGCATACGTATATTGGGCCGCGGAATGGCAGCGAGGGGGCCACGAAGGGCTGCAGCGGGGCCACGAAGGGCAGCGAGGGGGCCACGAAAGGCTACAACGGGGCCACGAAGGGCAGCGAGGGGGCCACGAAGGGCTACAACGTGGCCACGAAACAAAACGAGGGGGCCACGAAGGGCTGCAACGGGGCCACGAAGGGCAGCGAGGAGGCAACGAAAGGCTGCAACGGAGCCCCGAAGGACAGCGAGGGGGCCACGAAGGACTGCAACGGGGCCACGAAACAAAACGAGGGGGCCACGAAGGGCTGCAACGGGGCCACGAAGGGCAGCGAGATCCCGATTCTTAGGTCATCTGTGAAGGAATTTTAAGCGTGACGTGAGCGCGACTCCTGGGTGCCTGGGTGTCGGGAGCGCGGCGCTTGAGTAAATTGGAAGAAGTTCCAACGCAAGGGCGCGACTCTTCAGTAAATTGCAAGCAAGTCTCCAGCGAGAGCGCGACTCCAGAGCGCCGGGAGAGCGATTCAAATTATAAGGAAACCCCAAGCGAGAGCGCGATTCCTGAATCAAATGTAAAGAATTCACGGGCGGGAGCGGGTGTCCTGACTAAAATGTGAGGAAGTCTCCAGCGGGAACCGTTGTTGAAGTAACCTGGGGGCCAGGGGCGCAGTTTGAGCATCACGATTGTCGCTGTCGAAAACAGGGTGCGAGCGTCGAGGGGCACACTTTGATTGAGAAAAAACAATATGCACCGGTGACGGTGGATCAACAATAATTATTCTTCAGAAGTTAAAGGTCAACAACAACGACAACAACACCACCAACAACAACAACAACAACAGCAACAACAACCACAACAGCAGCAACAACAACAACAACATCAACATCAACATCAACATCAACAACATCAACAACAACAACAACAACAACACTAACAACAGTAACAGCAACATCAACCATAATAAGCACAACCACCGCAACAACAACATCAATCATTCTACCCGAATGCTCGAGTCTCCTACATGCAGCACGCATTCATCATGAACCCCTCCCCATCATGGCTATTTTTCTGTTGCGCGCGGGGGTCCGATATTCCCTCTCCCTGATCTCCCGCCCGAGGAGGTCTTGACCACGCCTCTTCCTCGGAACTTCAACATCTCCAGCCCGGATGGCGCATCGCATTCGCGATCTTCGCGCCCAGGCCCTGCTTCTGAATGTCACGACGCCCGAGTGGCCTACGAACTCTGGGAGAGGCCTCGCAACCTCTGGGAGAGCCCCGCGGAGAGCCTCCAGAGCCTCTGAGAGAAACTTCCAGCGCTTAGGCCCCTGGGGTTTCGACCCCTTCCCGGGGGCCGCTTTTGCGTCGGCCACTTCCTGATAGCGCCGGGGTTCATGTCCTCGTCGCCGCCGCCGCCGCCGCCGCCGCCGCTGTCGTTGTCGTCGTCGCGGTTGACGTCGTCGTCGTCGGGCGCAGAAGCGGCCTGGGGGCCTCGAGTTGCCGAGGATGTCGCTGGCGAGTGCGCCCGTTCGGGGTTCTGCGCCAGGTTTCGCCGGAGTCGCAGGGGACAGAGCAGGAAAGCTGGCGAGTCGCCAGAAACAGAACAGGAGGCCGGCGCGAAAGCTGGCGAGGAAGCTGGCGTGCAAGTAGGAGAAAAAGGGAGGAATCGGCGGGAATGAAGGAGAGGGGGGGAAGAGATGGAGGGCTCCAGCGACTGGCGTGATAACTGGTGTGAAACTTGCAGAAAAAAAGGGAACAAGAGAAAGATAGGGAACGCTCGCGAGATAAAGGGAAAAGCGGGAGACAGATTGTGGAAGCTGGCGGAGAGAAAAGCGGGGGGAAGAAAAGGACATCTAGAACAGTGAGAGAGGGAAGACGAAGAGCGGGGGAGAGAGGAGGAGGAGGAGGAGGAGGAGGACGACGGCGGCGGCGGCGACGACGACGGCGACGACGCCACGCCCCAGGACACGAGCGAGCGCGAGGTCGCGCGGAGCAGGCGCGAGAGCGCGAAAGCGCATTCAGAGCGTCCAGCAACAATAATTATAAGTTTAACAGGGACTAGGGAAACTCCAAGGCCTCCTGGGAGTCGTGAGTAAACCGAAGGAAGTATCCAGCGGGAGCGTTGTTGTTTGTAGGGGGTCCTGAGGCGGGAGCGCCGGTCCTGAGGTGAAAAGCAACGAAATATCAAGCGGGATCGCCGATTTTGTTGGAAAGCCGACTTTGGGGGGTGAGCAAGAACCCTGGCCCCGACGGGGAAAGGAGGAAGTATCGCGCCTGAGCGTTGTTGTTGTGGTTGTGGTTGTGGTTGTGGTTGTGGTTGTGGTTGTGGTTGTGGTTGTGGTTGTTGTTGTTGTTGTTGTTGTGGTTGTTGTTGTTGTTGTTGTTGTTGTTGTTGTTAGTGTTGTTGTTGTAAGGGGGCCGGTATTGGCGCAACCCGAAAGGCATGAGCGTGAACATAGTTTTCAGAGGGGCAGCCGGCGTCTAGGCGAGAGCGCGAAATCGCATTCAGGGTGTTCAACAATAACAATTGTTTAAAACTTAAATCAGCAACAACAGCAACAACACCAACAACAGTCACAACCACAACAACACCGACAACAACATAAACAACAACGTTAACAGTAAACACACCAACAACACCAACAACAGTATCGCCAACACATGCACCAACACCAACAATACCATCAACAACACGTCATCAACAACAACCACAACAACAACCATGAAAACAACAGCAGCAACAGCAACACCACCAACAACACCAACAACAGCAACAACATCAGCAACAACAACAATCACTTTAATACTGTTCGCTCTTACTTGCTTGCGTGCCACTCAACACGAATATCCCGAGCCCTCGCTACCCGCCCTCTTCGTTCTCGACCGTACCCCCTAGGGGGCATATCTTTCTTACCCGCAACGTGTATTTCGCGCGGCCCCTTAGGCAGGGGAAGAGAGGACGGATGGAAGGAAATACAAAGGGGGGGAGGAGGATGGAGCACGGAATAGGAGAAGAAAACACGTTGGGTGGGTAGACCCTACCAGGCTGGTCGGGAAGGAGGGCCCAGGCGGCCAGGTCGAGCAGGCGGGTTGCTCAAGCGTGCTTTCTGCATGAATCGCGGGGAAGTCTCGAGCGACAGCTCGATCCCCAAATCAATCGCGAGGAAATCCACAGCGAGAGCGTGACGCCTGAATGTCGAGGGCGCGGCGCTTGCATACGTTGCGAGGAAGTCCCACGCGAGTGCGCGATTCCTGAATGAACTGTGAGGAAATCCCGCGAGAGAGCGCGATTTGGCAATTTTCTGTGAGGAAGAATCAGGCGGGAGCCGTTGTTGTTGTTGTTGTTGTTGTTGTTGTTGTTGTTGTTGTTGTTGTTGTTGTTGTTGTTGTTGTTGTAATTCGGGGGCCAACCACGTAGTTTGACCCTCGTGACTTTCCTTGGCAAAAATCAATTGGGAAACACAGTGGCAACCGGTGTGTGGTGAGAGTTCGACATCGACAGAGGAGGAGGAGGAGAAGGAGGAGGAGGAGGAGGAGGAGGAGGAGGAGGCAGAAGAAAGCGGGAGGCAGGGGAGAGGACAAGGGGAGGACGGAAGGACGGAGGGCGGAAGGACGGAGGGCGGAAGGACGGGGGCGGAAGGAGGAGCGATGCGGGGAGCGTGGAGGGTGGCTGCAGGGATTGGGCGGGTGCTGTGCGGCCTCAGGGTGTGGGCTCGGAGGTTCCCCAGGGCTGTGGGCAGAAGCGGCGGCGTGCCCGGGGGGGAAGCGACATGGGGGCGGGCCTCCTCGGAAGGCTCGGAAGTCCCCTGGCCTCTTGGAAAGTGTTCTTCGCCCTCCCCGAAGCCCCGCCGCCGTCTCTACTCCCCCTCCTACCCCCTCTCCTCCGCCCTCCTCCTCCCTCCTCCCTCCCCCTCCTCCCTCCTCCCTCCTCCTCCTCCCTCCTCCTCCCTCCCTCCTCCTCCTCCTCTCCTCCTCCTCCCTCCTCCTCCTCCCTCCTGCATCTCCTCCTCCTCCTCCCTCCTGCTCCCTCTCCCTCCTCCTCCCTCCTCCTCCTCCTCCTCCTCCTCCTCCTCACTTCCTCCCCTCGCTCGCCGTCCACAGAAAGGCGGTGAGGAAAGCACCCCACAGCGAAGTTCGCCCTCCACATGACCTCGAGCCGTGTCCGTGCGCTTGTCCTGCACGGTGGCCATGTCGCCCGACGCAGCTGGAGACTTGTCGAGCTGTTGAGCTTCTGGGGAGGGACGTACCGAGGCTCAACTGCACCCCACATCGAGGTTCGACCTCCGTACTCGAGTTTTGCCCGTGCGCTTGTCCTGCGTGATGGCTGAGTGTGTTGCCCGACGCAGCGGGAGACTTGTCAAGCTGTTTAGCTTCTGGGGAGGGCGGAGGACCAGGATGAGGTCGATGAGAAGCCAGGATGACTTTACAGGGGAATGTTGAACTGCTTCTGGAGTAAGCCCCAGACCATCATCAGCATGGGTGAAAGAGTCTGGATGGCCCACGAGTGCAACCACCGCCCAATGTTCCACGTACGCATTGCTGCATCTTGGCCGAGTGTGCACCGGACCCAGAGAGCCAGCGGCAGCGTGCGTACCCTGCGAGCGGCGGCATCAGCTCAAGTCGCGGCGTAACAGAGCGGGAACCCTGTCGATGCTGTTCCTCTGCGTTCGGAGGCGAGAGGTGGGGAATGGGCCGCCGGGCCTGCGTCCTCGCTCCGCACGCTGTCGAGCTGCGGCCCCGGAGAGCGGAGCGAGACTGCCTTCGCGAGCTGGCGCAGTCCCGTGGGGCAAAATACGGCAGGTCCGTGTCGTGTCGACCCCGGCGTTGGTTCCCGACACCGCACGGACCGTTCAACCTTGAACGAGCGGCCTTTCTCGAAACGTCAGGATCGTTCAACGTCGACCGATTCTGGGCCGCCGCGGGCGTTCAACGTTGAACGCCGGCGGCGGAGTCGCCGCCGGTCGACACGACACGAACCAACCGTACACCCTTCGGCCCACACTGCGAAGTATGAAACTCGGGTAACGTTCGCGCCCCTGCGAATACCTACAGGAGGGGGACGCTGAGTTGGAGCAGGACGAGCATGGGGACGAGGAAGCAGCTGCGGGATAGCCCTGCGCCCGATCGAACTGGTTCACATTCTCAAGCGATGGGGTTGAGAGGTAAGAACCGGGATAGGGGGAAGGGCAGGGCGAGCGTGGATGAGCGGGCTCCTCGCCAGCCACTTGGGCGAGCGGGCAAGCTGGAAAGGGGGCCCATCACGTCATTTGTCAGGTAGCGGTGCGGCTTTGCGCAGGCGGCGCACCGCTGCCCCGCGGCAAGACCCCCTTGCCGAAGTCAGCGTGCGAAGAACGGTATACAATAAACTTTTTCGCTGTCGGGGGCGCCTGCCCAAGGGCGGCTGGAAAATTGATAACCTTACGGTGGCACGTCAAGGTATAAACTTGCCAACCGCCCCCAGTATACGGCTCCTCGCCCAGTAACCAAAAAAACAAGGTCGCTGGCAGCGGCCAGCAGAGGAGCACGGGGGAGGGCCAGCGGCCTTGGTGGACATGAACGCCATGTTTGCGGCAATGCGGCCCTCTGCGCTGAGCTCCTCCTTTGGGGGGCAGAGGCATGGATGAGAGAGAGAGGGGAAGGCGGATGCTAAACCAGCTTTCTGTCCCATGCCGACTTTTCTGATTGAGAGGGAAAGAGAGAGAGAGAGAGAGAGAAAACAAAAAAAAAGATGGAGAACAAGAGAGAGAAAGAGGGAGAGAACAAACAAAGAGAGGAGAGGAGGAGGAGGAGGAGGAGGAGGAGGAGGAGGAGGAGGAGGGAGAGGAAGAGAAAGAGGAGGAAAAGGAGGCAGAGGAAGAGGACTCTTGAGGGCCCTCTTCTTTTCCTGTATTCACTGCCCGTCCTTTCTGGCTGCGCCAGCCAGGTTCAACTTGTTTTCACTCCGCCTAAGTCGGCGATCTTTTTTTCAATCCAAGCGCTTCAGGCTCTGACCTTGAGTCAATGCAACGTCCAGAACGAGGAGGAGGAGGAGGAGGAGGAGGAGGAGGAATGGTGAGGAGGAGAAGGATGAGGAGGATGATGAGGAGGAGGACGAGGAGGAGGAGGAGGGAGGATCATTTCGAGGAAGAAAAGCCTCCCTTCTCAACCATTGAGCGCACCTCGGCGTGGTGCAACGCGCACACACTGGGCATCCGTCCTGGGACAGATTGCCAGGGCATGCGCATTGGCATCATCCGACGTTGCCATGCCGCGAGCGCTCATGTGAAAGGCACCCTCTGCTGCCACTCCTCCTTCTCCATCTTTCCCCCCCATCGCCAAGGCATGCCCTTATCTTCCTCCTCCTCCCCCCTCCTCCTCCCCCCTCCCGGAAACATCCCCCTCGCCCTCCCTCACCTCTTCCTCCGCCCACTTCCTCGCGTCCTCATTCCAACGCTCTCCTCCTCTTCCTCATCCTTCTCCTCCTTCCCCCCTCCCGCTTCCACTCTACCTTCTCTTCTAATACCTCCTCCTATCGGTCCTCCTCCTCCTCCTCCTCCTCCTCCTCCTCCTCCTCCTCCTCCTCCTACGGCTTGGGACAGGAAGGTGTGTTGCATCGTCGTTGATCCGTCCTGGATTTACTCTGGTCTTCCCCCCTCCCCATGTCTGCCCCTCCGCCCTCGTCCTCTCCCCCCTCCCCCTCCACTGCAACCTCCCGAGGCCCGGCAGACAGCGCGCGCGCACGCACGCTCGCGCACGCGCGCGCGGACCATTTGCGCCAAGACGCGGAAGCGTCAGGCCCGCCCGCGCCGAGCACGGGCCAATATGCGACCGGCAGCGCCTCCTGCTACAAATGGAGAGAGAGAGATGCGAAGGCGGGCACCGTCACTTCGCCGCATGATGACAGGAAAAAGGCGGACAGCTAACGCACGAGTCAAACAATGGACAGTCCGCATACGATGTGCACCGGTGAGACACGTCGTACACAATTTGTCTGATAACGATATCAGACAGCACCAGCGATAACTGGGCGAAAACAGCCGCGACGTGCATTGCGTATGACTATGCGGACTTTGGCTGGCAATACAGCCAGGCGTTCATGGTGCCAACTCTTCAATCATGTAATGGTCAGTGTAGCTGACGGGAGAGGAAGGCCACATTCGAGCCGCGTCTAAAACATCGTGAAAGACGCGCGCAGCGGCAGTAGAGACGCTGGCAGCGCCAGAGAAGAACCATGGATACGACCAGCTCGCGCATGCAAAGTGCTCCTCTGGAACAAGTGGCTACGCAAACAACGACATACGTTACTGCTGAAGGCTACATATTGACGCGATCGCGAAAAGCCACTGAGCCGCCGAAATCCAAATTTTGGACGCAGACCGCGCCGTCATACTCCGCCACGCGGTTTGGCCAGGGGGGGGTCTAAGACAGGTCGCGTGGCATCGCGTGCACTTGGCGTGTCGCGAGGAGTCGGTACTGCGCGGCAGGCTCCCACCCCCAGAATCGCAACGTGGTGGAGCTTCAGCATGGTGCTGTTGTCTGGCATGCTCGAAATAAGCATTCGCCTAATCCGTATGACAGAGACCGATTGGGGCATGCCTGTATGATCTCCGTCTGGCGATCCTACTTCGAATCCGCTCACTCGGCCTAGTAACAAGTCTCGGGATTTCCCACGCCCGCATTCCAGGAGGGCCAGAACCTTGGGTGATGAAGTAAGGCATCATCCATAGAAGGACCAAACAAGTGCATGAGCATCTGAAATTTTGGAGTTCCGCGCGGAACTCTTGGATCTGCGCTGGACCCCTCTCCCTGGCGCTCGGAGCGCGCCAGAAGCGGCGTCGGAGGCGCCGCCAAGGGGCCACAACGCAGATCCAAGAAATCCGCGCGGACCGTCGAAAGCTCAACCCCATCCCGCGGATAATAAAGCATCCTCCCCCCTTAACACTTCGCTATCCACGGCATTGAATGTGGTTCAATTGCCACAACAGGCGGGGCGTCCGAACTTTCTTATGCCCTCCAGGGTTCCTATCGTAGCAGGAAGGTCGATCCACACATCCTATTATCGATACCTCGGGGAAACAAACATAGCCTGTCCTGGAACCTGGGCTTTATTATCCCAAAGGGATTCTTATCACCGGCATAGGATTTATATATATATATATATATATATATATATATAGATATAGATATATGCCGTCTTTTCTTCTTCGAGTGATGAAGTAAACCATCATCCAGCCGCGGCGCTGATGTATCCTCATGTTCTCCTTGCCAACAGTCTCGAGGACAAACCTCTGCTCATCGGCGACCGCGCGCGCGGCGGCGAGGTGCTGAAGCACAGCGGGCGCGGACGGGCACTAAGCCGCAGCGGCAACGTGGGCAGGGGCGGCAGCAGCCGCACTTGGTGCAGGGCAAGACGGGCCAGCGACACAGCAGGGGCAGGTCGAGCAAATCGAGCAAAGGAGAGTGCGAAGCCAGAGCGGCAACCGGAGCCGAGGAGAGACGGGAGGGGCACGGCAGACCACGCCGACGGACGGACCAGGCAGGCAGATCATCCACGAGGGCAAAGGAAGACACGAGGTCAAGACAACACGAAAACACACACACACACACACACACGCATCCAGGGTAAGCCCGAGTGACCCTGGAGCACCAGGACGGTAGTTGGCAAAGCGAATATCGACTGAACTTTTGCTGACAAGAGGATGGTTGACCATTAACTGCCCGAAATGTGACAATGGGTTGCGGTTCTGATAGCTTTTTCAAACGAGTTGGATTGATTCCTGTCCACCATATTGATATCATGTCAAGCGCAGAATTTCGAAGTGGGATACGTATCACGGCGTCAGCGTGCCCTGGAGGCATTTTCTCTGCACGCGTATGGCTGTTCGACTTGATCTTGAGACTTGAGGCAGCTGCCCAAACCTCTTTGCTTCACGGTTGGATCGGGCATGGTCGAGAGTAGAAGGCTGCAGCCTCGAGAGACCTGAGAACGACTCACGAATTTCGAGCTGCATTCGAATACCTAGGTACGCGCTGCAACTACTCTGCTGCGTCGAACTATTTTCAAGTCAGTCTCGATATTTGAAGCACCAGCCGAGTCATTCGGCACAACATTGGAAGGGGCATCGTCGAAAAGATCACTCTGCAACATCGACGGCGCCGAGACAGGCTTCCCCGCCGAGCGATACTCGAACAACGAGCTCAGTGCTGCAACTATTATGCTGCGTCGACAAGTTTGTCGATTACATCGAAAGAATAACTATACCAGTTTAGAGCAGCTACAGAGTCGTTAGGCAGACCATTGGATCGGGCATCGTCGAAAGCGTCAATCTGCAGTGCCTAGGGCGCCGAAATCGGCCGCCTAGACGAGCTATGCTGGATAACTTAGCTCAATGCTGCAAGTTTCTAGCTTCGTCGTAATGTTTTCGAGTAGTTCTCGAGATTGGGAGCAGTGACAAAACAATTTGGCATATCATTGGACTGGGCATCGCCGGCAGCACCAGCCTGCAACCTTGAGGGCGTCGAGATCGGCCATGCACTCGAGCTGGATGCGAAACCAAAGAGCACGCTACCACTATTGAGGTGTGACGAATTGGTGCTCGACCAAATCCCGACACTCAGAGCAGCTGCAGTCCTTGGGCATTCCAATGGTTGGGGCACTGCCGAAAGGACCAGTCTGCCAACTACAGGGCGCCGAAATCGGCGTCCCACCCGACCTATAGTAGAATAACGCGTTCCGCGCTGCAGCTGTGATGCGTTGATTTCTGCTCTGAACTGAATCCGGATATGTTGAAGCCAGTAGGAAGCCCTGCAGTCTACACACTGTCATTATACAGACAGGCAACTCCGAGAATTTCCGGCGGCTACCGAAGTTGACGATTGACCGCCAGCATCTGGCAGCGGTTGACGGTTTTGGCATGAGCGGAGGGGCCAAGGCTACGAGAGAACACACACTTGAAGAGTGCCAGATGTACAGAATCTCGGTCGCGACGCGCGTCGTGCCCACAATGATCATGTCCAACTTCTTCCTTTCCTGAGGGCACTGCCCCATCCCCTTGCACCCGCGCCCATGACTAATACCGCCTATGAAGGACAACGGCGTTTCGGCAGCGTGAGCTCCACCCCATACTGCCGCATCGTCACCAAGGGCCCCCTTTGGCAACAGTGCGCACGAAGTCGTGCTGAAACGGGCGGTCGCCTCTCCATACAGACACGCAACAGTGCGCACGAAGTCGTGCTGAAACGGGCGGTCGCCTCTCCATACAGACACTTGCCTAATCAACGAACCCACCCGTGCGGAACAGGGCCCCACTTTTCACACGGCCGCTTCCGCGCGACCGCTCTCCTCCTTAACTGACCCCGCGCGCACCCGCATGCCTCTTGATCCCCTCCCCCCCTCCATCCTACCATCGGACCGCTCGCCGTCTGTGACACATGACTATACAGATATGAACGACAACACTGAAATCCGAACTGGATCCATGACGCCCGACCTACGTCAGCGACATCCAAGTTCAATCAATGAGATCAGACTATTTCCCTTCCTGACTTCTCCGCCGCCCTCGTGTCGTGAACGACGGGTCGGCTTCTCTCTTCGGCGTTTTCCCCATGCCGTTTCCGGCCCAGTGGAGACTCGCGCCGCCTTTCTATTTGCGCCCCAGGCAGGATCCACGCCAGCCGGCACACATGCCCGCACACGTGCACAACCCTCGCGCGCAAGCACAAACCACGCGCATTCGCATAGTGATCACGGTGGCATACCCCCAGACCCGACAGCGATTTCCCCCGCCCTCCCTATTCGCTACCGTCGGATCTTTGAAGCCCGAGCGAAGTAGGCTTTCTTTTCTTCTCCGTCGCACGCAACAGGCGGTCTTCTTTCCGCCACGAGGCGCCCCCCATCTTCAGTGGGTGGCGGCTGCTTCAAGTTGGGAGCGGAGTCAGGGACCGAGTCGAACAAAACCGCTTATCACAAAAACCCACCTTAGTCGGAAGCTAAATCAGCAATGCCACCAACGCCTGGTCTAAGTGGAGCTGGGTCGGGACAGCCACCTAAGTCAACGTGAGGGCGAAGCTGATTCGACAAGGCCTTCAAACTCTGAGCGCAGTCGGCCTGTTCTGCTATCCTACGTCGCGCGCAGCAGGCGGGCCTCTCTTCGCCACGAGGCGCACCCCACCCCGGGACGCACCTTCAGGCATACAGGCACCCACTTCCTCCCCCCCCCCCCTCCAGATGCCCTCCCCCTGCCGCGCCGCCCAGCCTCGGGCCTCGTTCCTCCTCGGCCCCTCGCCTCCGTCCCACGAGCTGGACGAGCTCGAGACAAAAGCAAGCTCCAGATCTAAATCTTGGCACAATCAGCTGAAGGGTCTGCCGCCGAGGCGGTTCTTAGGCCCTCGCGGGTGCTGCGAAGGAGGGCCCAGGAGCTCTGCGGGGGTCCGACACACGCTTTTGAAGAGCGCCAGGGGCACTTACTCTCGGCCGCGACGCGCACCGTGCCCACAATCATGACATCCAGGTGCTTCCTTTCCCAAAGGCACTTCCGGTCCAGGTGTTTCTTTTCCGCCCCCTTACACACTCGTGCACGTGACTAACACTCCCGATGGAGGACAATGGCGCTTCGGCATCGCGAGTCCCCATGCTGCCGCATCCTCGTCAGGGCCCGCTTCTGCAGCAGTGCGGGCAATTTCACGCTGGAGCGGGCCGATGCCTCTCCATCTGATCAACTTCCTAACAAGTCCACCCATTCGGAACATGGGCCCCCCTGTCACACACACACACACACACACACAAATACACTCACACACACATACGCACACACGCACGCAAACACACACACACACACACACATGCACATACGCACACACATGCGCACACTCACACACAAGCGCACACATACAGCCACGCGCACACACACACACGCACACACAGAGACACACAGACACAGACACACAGACACACACACACAGATACACAGACACACACACACACATACACGCGCGCACGCACACACACACACACACACACACACGCCCGCGCACGCGCGATCGCTGTCCGGGCCGCGTCTTGGCGGCGACCAGCGCACGCGCGCACGATGAGAAGCGAGAAGGGGCCGCGTCCTTGGCTGGCGGCTGGTACATCTTGGGCCTCGGTACAGCAGAAGGGAAACTCGCTTCGCTCGCGCATCGCTTCGCTCGCTCTGCGCGTCAGCGAGGGCCCGCCCTGCCTGCACGCCCGCTCGTTGGGGCCCGCCCCCTGCCCCGGTCCGCCTGAATCGACCAGCCAGGGAGCTGAGCTCCTCGCACCCCTGGGAGGGACCTATCGCATCAACGATCCCACGAGAGAGGTGTCAAGGCCTGTGGTCCCCCCGAGAGGGTACAGTCGACCCGCATAATAGGGACGCGCGATAAGGATGCAAAGGCCTGAGAAGGCCATGACGACAGCTTGCGAGCGGGGCGCGGCCGGCGAAAGCGGCCAAGGTTGTGCCAAAGGGGAAGGCTGCAAGGGTTATGAACCTTGGGATGGATGTATCGACGATCCCTCGAGAGGGATGTCGAAGTCTATTTTTGAGCAGGGACCGATCGTCCTGGCATTCCTGTAGGCATACTACTTAGACGCCACAAATGTTCTAAGGAGAAATACGATGATCTTAAACTAGAATGCCAATGTGTTAAAACAAAACAGTCTCAGCCAGAAATGTTTCAAGATCATTTCGCGCAGACCACAAAAGGTTCCTAGCACATTCCTTGGTGGGGCTATAGGCAAGCCAGGACGCTCCGCCACTGCTCGGTCTATGGGCACCCCGAGTGGGGCAGCAGAGGAACACATGACACACGTATAAGTGAATATAACAACTGTTTGAGGTTCGCGCGCACTTCTCGGATAGCCACGCTCGACCCTCCCCCCGCTGGCGGCGACCCTGGCGCGGGGGGAAGCGCCGGAGCCGCCGCCGGGGAGGGGCCCAGCACAGAGCCAAGCGACCCGCGCGGGGAGCTCAAAACTTCTCTGCGCGACTGCCTTTTGTGTCCTCTCCTGGCGCAGCTCCCCCCGTTGTGGCTGCTCTGCTCACTGATCCTCTCTTCCGCCCGTCGCGCTCCGCCCGCCCGCCCGCTCCTGGGCCCGCCGAGCCTCTGGACGCTCGAAATGGGTACGGAAAAAATGGGTACAATGCCCAACAACAAATGTTGCCCCAAACCAACAACGGCCGGTGTTGGGCAGCCGGCCTTGTGTCTCGAATGGACACAGGCCGCGGCGGCGTGGACAGCGAATCTGGTTCAAAATGAACAGGAGATGCTATCGGGCATTGTACCCATTCTTTCCGTACCCATTTCGGGCGTCCAGAAAGCCCCGCCCGCCCGAAAGGCCGCCCGCCCGCCCGGCGCGCTCGGCCCGCCCGCCCGCCGCAGCCGGGCAGGGCCGGCCCGCGCCACGGACCTTTGGCGGGGCGAGATTCTGGCGGTGCGGCGCGGAGGACGGCACAACCCACCTCCTGACCCTCGCCAGGACCCCCGCTCCCGACCCGGTGATCCGGGGGGTGCCTGGCCAGGGGAGGGGCATGGACTTCGGTCCACGGGAGCCGCCCCCCAAAAAGCACCCCCCCACCCCCAGCCTGGACCCCATGGATCACCAGGTCGGGAGCGGGGGGTCCTGGCTGGGGGTGGGGGTGGGTTGTGCTGTCCTCGGAGTGAAGGGCAACAACAGGCAGGAGGCCCCAGAATCGAATCGATCAGTCGGATCGGCGATCGAATTGGCTCGGATCGGCGGAAATCGGCAGCCGAGTCGGGAAAAGTCGAGTCGGTAGACATCGGCAGGCTCATAGGCCTCCATTGAAAAATCTGATCCCACATCGGAATCCGATGCCGATTCGAATCGGAATCGGAACCCATCGAGATCGCATCGAATCGAAACGACCTGGAGGACCCCTGAGGAATCGGAACGAGCCCTGGAAGGGCAACGATGGGGGGGACTGGCTCAGGGGGAAAGCGTCGACCTGGAAGCGGCGATGCGCCGCCGACAGGTCGGCGAAAAACTGAGGCCCCCGAGACTCCGCACGTACCTGGGCGGTGCGGAGCTACCAGCCCCCCGCATCGGCGATCAATGAGCGCCTGGGAGTCGATGTGCTCCTACCCGGAGGAGGAGGAGGAGGAGGAGGAGGAGGAGGAGGAGGAGGAGGAAGAGGAGGAAGAGGAAGAAGAGGAGGAGGAGGAAGAGAGGGAGGGAGGGAGGAGGAGAGGAGGGAAGGGAGGGAGGGAGGGAGGGAGGAGGAAAAGGAGGAGGAGGAGGAGGAGGAGGAGGAGAGGAGGAGGAGAGGAGGAGGAGGAGGAGGAGGAGGAGGATGGAGGAGAAGGGCCAGGAGGGAGAGGAAGTGGATGAGGAGTGCCAGGAGGAGGGGGAGGAGCAGGAGGAGGAGGAGGAGGAGGAGGAGGAGGAGGAGGACGAGGAGGAGGAGAAGGGGGATGGAGGAGGAGGAACCTATCCCCCCCCCCTGTATCGCTGCCCCTGCTGGGCACCCCGGGCGAGGCAAGCAGGGTTTCGGGCGAGAGGAAAGGGCCGGCGGAGCGGGGCGCGCCGGCGAGGAGAGGCGAGGCCCCATCGCGAGGCCGGTCCGGGCGGAGCGAGCAGGTCCTGGAGCGAGGCGGGCCTCGAGCGAGGCGGCGCGAGGCGGCGCGGGCCCTCCGCAGAGCGCGGCTCGAGCGAAGCGGGTCCGTGCCGAGGGGGACGGGGGGAAAGGGGGAAGGGGGGGAGGAATGAGGGGGGAGGAGAGTGGGCGAGGGAGGGACGGGGCGAGGGGGCCGGGGGAGAGGGAAGGGGAAGGGGAAGGAGGGGGGACGGGGTGGGCGAGGAGCGTGAGGGGCCGAGGGAAGGAGGGCGGGAGGAGAGGGGCAGGAGTGGAGGAGCGAGGGGGAGGAGGGCGGGGGAGGAAGAGGGGGGGGGGAGAGGAGCAGGGGGAGTGAGAAAGCGGGGGGGAGGGTGCCCATGACCCAGTCTCGTCCTTCTGTCGGTCAGGATCACGAGGGGTGGTGAAGCTTGTGCGCACGGGCCTGGAAGGCCCTCCAAGCTCCAAATCGGAAAACGGATCGGCGCGGGCCGCGGGCAACGCCGAAGCGATGGGCCGGCCGACCGGTTCTGAACGGGCCCTGCATCGTATCACCCTCGCGCTCCCAATGTTCGCGCATCCTCCTTCTCCTTCGACCCCCTCCCCCAACTCCTCCTGTTGTTCAACCCCTCCCAACTGCTCGTCCTCCTTCTCCTCCCGCTCCTCCGAAGCTCCTCCTCCCGCTCCCTCTCCTTCCCGCTCCCCCTTCCCTCTCCCCCCAATGCTCTCTCCTGTCCTTTGACATCTCCCCGGAGCCTTGACATCCTGGTTTTTCTAAATATGGGGCTCCTGCGCTCTGGGCTCAGTACTTCGTGTTGGCCCCGCGCGGTGAGGTGTTTTCTGTGCACCCTTGGGCCCAAAGCGTACCAACTATACCGATTTCTCTACATGACGCCCGGGGCCATGGTCTGCTCCAGCCTGGGGGAGGCGGAGAAGGGAGAGAGGAAGAGGAACCACTAGAAGAGGGGGAGGGAAGGAGGAAACCGGATCTAGAAAGTGGCCCTTCACAGCTTACAGGCATGCGCAGAACACACGCACACACACGCGCACACACATACACACACACACACGCACACGCGCACACGCACGTACACACAAGCACACGCGCACACACACACACACACACGCACACGCGCACACACACACACGCGCGCCCACACACAAACGCGTACACACAGGAACACACGCACACACGCGCACACACACGCACACATCTACACACACGCACACGCGCGCACACACGCGCACACGCGCACGCGCAAACACGCACGTACACACACACACACGCACACACACACACACACACTACACACGCTCACGCGAACACGCACACGCACGCATGCACGCGCACTCACACACACACACGCGCACGCACACACACGCGAGCACGCACGCACAGGCGCACACGCACACGCACACCACACGCACACGCGCACACACGCACACACACACCACACACGCACACACACGCACACACGCACACACGCACACGCACACGCGCACGCACACACACGCACACACGCACGCATGCACGCGCACTCACACCACACCACACGCACCACACACCGCGAGCACACGCACACGCATACACGCACAGGCGCACACACACGCACACACACACACACGCACACGCACACGCATACACGCACAGGCGCACACAAACATGCACACACACGCAAACACACATACGCCCAGGCACACACGCACACACTCACATACGCACACGTACACACACACACACGCGCACACACACGCACACACGCACACGCGAATACGCACGTGCACACACGCACACGCAGACACACGCGCGCACACACACACGCACATGACACACGCAAACGCGCACACACACGCACACAGACACGCACACGCACGTACACACACACGCGCACACACACATACGCATGCACACCCACACACACACACACACACGCGGGCACACACACACACACACAGAAACACACACACACGCACGCACGCACGCGCACTCACATACGCACGCGCACACGTACGCGCACACACGCACACGCGCACACACACAAACGTGCACATACACACACACGCGCGCGCACACACACACACACTCGCACACGCGCACGCGCACACACGCGCATACGCCCACACACACACACACGCACATGCACACACACACACGCACACATGCGCACATGCACACGCCCACACAAACACGCGTTCACACGCACACACACGCACACAAACACGCACACACGCACATGCACACACGCCCGCGCACACACATAAGCACACACACACGCACACACACACACACACACACACGCACACAAGCACACGCGCACGCACACACAAACACGCGCACACACACACACACACAAACACACACGCACATGACACACGCAAACGCGCACACACATGCACACAGACACGCACACACACACACTCACGCATACACACACACACACACGCTCACACACATGCGCGCACACACACACACACACACACGCACACACATATGCACATGCACTTGCACACGCCAACGCACAAACGCGCACACACACACACATACACCACG